TTCTACAGTCCCAACTGTTATTGTATCTACTTATTATATATACACCAAGCAACTGCACTACACTACTTGTAAATGAGTCCAAAGAATTCTGCATGTGTACAATATGCCCAAGTGCAATATTCCACTTATCTCCTTATTTATTTATGAATTTATTTATTTATTTTATTGTCTCATTTTAATGGTCAACATTTGAACTAGCTTCTTCCTTTTTCTTTTTCATCCTAGTATGAGATTTCAAACATTTTTCTTATTATTTATACTCTAGCATGTGTTAATGTACTGACAGGATTGTTAACTGAATGTCATTGTCTACTGTGCAATGACAATACAGGGATCTAAGTGTTTTAGTATTAACATTTTGAACATAAGGACATATAAATTAACATTCATTGCAGGGGAACGCAACATTATATAGCAGATGATCTTTCCACTCTGATAAAATATTTGAATAGAGAGTTTAGAAAAGATGATAGTTTGGGGATGGTGGTTACTAAGCAACAGACTGGATGTCCATGCACAATAGGTGGCAAAAGACATTGTGTTTAGGAAATGTAACTCACATTTGCTGGTTGCCAGATGTCAACTAATGTCTGTAATGTACAATAAACAGGAGATCCATTGAAGGGATGGAAGCTTGGATGTGCTTATCCAGGAGTAAATGTAAGTAACTAAGTGAAAGTTTATTTATATAGCACTTTTCTAAACCAGAGTTACAAAGTGCTTCACAATAAAAAGGAAAATAACAACAAAATAACCACGATAATAAATACAATAACATCGACATACACTATAACCCTTCAGTGCAATAATTCAACAACAGTTACAAGATTCAATAAAATCTGAGAGAAAAAATACCTAAAGAATGTGTTAAAATAGCTGGAGGACAGTGACATAACGCGAGTTGGGTCAGCGTCAGCATTAGTGTGTGGGCATATATAAAAATCAATGGCTACAAGTGTTTTGATGTGTGTCATATGTTACCTCTCTAAGGCCTTGAGGCCAGTCATAAAATAAATCACCTCCACCAATTCCTAAGAAAATGCATCTGTTTACTGCAAAATGATTGTCACTAGATAGTGAAGCTTCTCTGGTAAATACTCTGTATTTATAGTCTATAGATTACTCATATTTATAGTGCTTTCCGTCCATGGACGGATTATGAGTCAGTGGATCCCTGGGCACAGGCAGGCCCCCCCAGCCCTCCTACACAGGACCCCCAGGTAGATGTGGCCATGTTGTTTGTAATCATTTTGTGGGTGTTCTCTTTATGATTTAGCCTTTTTGTAGTCATTTTGCATCTCTCTGTGGCCATACCTCTTTTTATGGTTATCTTTCACCTCTTTAAAGTAAGTGTCTCCTTCTGGTTAATTTTTATTTCTTTATGGGTGTTTGGTGTCTTTATTTTTGTTTTGTACTTTTTTTAACTGAGCCCTATTGCTTTGTCATTTCATACAGAGACAAATGACCAAGGGCCCCTGACACCTCGGGCCTCTGGGCCTATGCCCAGCAGATCTGTGTGGTTATCCATTCATACATTTACCCATTAGCACACACTCCAACAGAGGCAGGTTGGCATGCAAGGCTCTGGTCCGACCATCAGGACCAATTAGAGTCTTGCATAAGGATTTGGACAGGAGGAGTCAGGGATGGAATCACTAAACCCTGGTCTATCTGTTGCATAGAGTTGGATAACAGGTGAAGATAACAATTTAATCAGCCTATGACAAATGCTGGATTAAAACACAATTCTCCACATTTCTATAATCATCCCTTCATATATTAAACAAAGACATTTGTTTCAGTGTTTCACTTGATGATTCACAGTTTACTTTTGATTTAAGTTTAGCACAGATTTTTTTTCCAGTACATTTTTCTGCCTTCAGGGCATCTCAGCCTCTGAGAAATTATTGCATGAATTCAACCAGATTCACTTATTTGACAATGAAGCTGTGCTTCCATGTGCAATATTCAATTGGCAGTGTTTCCTAATAATTCAGTTGATTAGTCTTTTTTCTTTTTAACCACCAAACCAACTCATGTAACACTGCTGTATTTTTCAAGGAAGAGAACAATGAAGCTCATCACCAAGGGATCAACAAAGTCTGTATCTGAAATCTTACAAATTATCTTCAAACTCTGCACAACATGGAAACTCATCCTGCTGCTTTCACCCAGAATGATTGCAGCACTATCTTCCTTTATGCACAAAGATCCTGCTAATACAGCAGAAAATGTTTGTAGGTGGGGGGTGGGAGCGTACAAAATGAACAAAATATAAATGATGAAGTCAAAACATGAGCTAGGCCTTAGTCCTTCCCCTTTATTTATTGTGCAAATATATCTGGGAGACAGAGACAGAGCTTGTCTGATGCTGGGGCTCCTCTGACCTGTAGCCATAGCACACTTGCAAAACAAAACTGTGCCAGAGACAAACAGCAGATAGACCATATTTCTTGGCCCCAGTGACAGGGGGCCTGGCTCAGCAGGGGCCCCTTACTCCACGGAGCCTGGCTTGTTCTCTGGTCTGTGCTCCCTAATAGTTGGATAAGCAGATATAGGCTAATCGAAGACCTTGCAGAGACTCTGGGAGGTCAGAGGTGAAACAGATTGATAGATAGAGCCCATCTCCCTGTATGCACCTTCTGCTGAGCAAACAGTCTAACAGCTTGGATGTGCTGTGCAAGTTTTATCAACTTTGACAGGGACAGGGTTAGGGTTAGCTTATCATAGCATTAAGGTGTCATATGCAAAGCAAAACGTAATAAAAAGTTATGAATGGAGGAAAGTGGAGCCTTGACTGACTTTTTACTAAAAAGACGCTATCGTTTTAAATATACACTCACATCCAACATGTTAATCAAACCAGACATCACATCAGCAGTTTAGAGTGATTTACATTTACTACATCAACACAACTTCCAAAATGGAATGTTGACTCTCTCAGGATCCCCTTCAATACCCAGCTAATGCCCGGGATTACTGGTAGGAATGTCACTTGCTGTACGTAGTCAGCCAAGGGCATAACAAACTGTACTGCTGCAGAGTGCCTCACAGTCCCTGTCACTCTGGGCTCATGTTTTCCACCACATATATGAAAAATTGACCATTTGTACATTTTTCAGGAAATATATATTCTGTTTACAATGTTATGTAATTGTATGTAATGTATGTGATTAGTGGAGAAATCAGCGTTCCAGTTGATAAGGTCCATTTATCTGAGTGTCCCCAGATCAAAAGTTTGTGTGTGTGTGTGTGT